ACTCCAAAGTGTGGAACGTCCGAGGCTCGAACTCGCGATCTGCTAGTTAGAAGTCCACGCCTCTAACCACTGGGCCATGAGCCCATTACCCTGTTGGTTTCGATCGCAAATATACAATGGTTGGGTATGACTGGCTGACGACGGCTAATAAGCCATAAATGGCCATTCCAGTCTCTCTTGTCTCTGTCGGTAATAACATACTAAGCTGAAGTTCATTCCTAGTAAGCAGTGTGCCACAAACGCCTAGCCGGGCACGAGTGAACGTGTTGATGATGGACTTGCGAGAGCACGCACAAACATCATCCGACGCGCTGATACTTGCACCTGACTTCTGGCGAGCCGAAGCGGCGATCACTTGGGGTACTGCGTGCGTGTACGTGCGCCCTAGTCCTCTCAGCAAATGTCAGTTCATCAGTCAAATTGTCAATCCTGGTCAACTGGACTACCTCATCGATGCGACAATTGCCGAATATTTCTGAGCCTGATCTACCATTGCATCCGTGTTCAGCGATTTCAGTCAACAAGGTGCATGCTTTCCGCGTACGGAAAATCATATATTCCTCTGTCTTTAAGAGGATACCACATAGAGTTCATAAAATGACGCAATGGATCCGAACTGTGTTGTACATTTCATGAGCAGTAGTGTTAGACGGACATGTACGGTCCTGTATGCGTGAACATCGCACGGTCTTAAAAATCTCACAATTAAAAACTTTTTAAAACCTAAATATACACTGTCTTCTTGCATAAAATACAAAGATAATGTTATTTTCTACCAAATGAGTAAAATAAAGCTTATTTTATGTATGTTTTCTAGAAGATATATTTGAATTTTTAAGACCATCGAAAGTTCATAGGAAAAATGCATGCTACTTAAGTAGTCATTGTTTTACCGAGTACGGTTTCTGCAGGAGGTCAAGAAGGAGTGCATCCAAAAGCCGACATCCTAGCGAGTCCGAAATGCTATAGGATTATGCCGTACGCTAATTACTAATAAAACCCCACCTAAGTAATCCTTCCTAATCGAAAACGAATATCAGAATTTCGACCAAAATTTCAAGAGATCGGTCACGCACTGTATGTCACCCTCCCCCCCCCCTTGACCCAATGACCATAACACGCCGAAATCAGCATGTGGGTGGCGTGGGAACGATGAGTGTTAACAGCCCCTGAGTCACTCAAAAACCCTGCGAACTTCGCATATTTTCAGTTTCTATGTAAGTGTTTTGGTCTGAGGATGAGTTACCGAAAACACGTGTTTGCCAAAAAGACTTTTTTAATCTTAGTTAGTTACGGTGCTATTTAAGGCAGTCAAATCACTCTTTCCACTCATTCAGATGACAGGCACCACCACAATGGATGATGGGATGGGATGAGATGCAGTATGGACGGCGGTCGGATCTTATTTCGTAGCCGTACCTGCAGCAGACGAGCCCCAGCCTAACCCTAACCCCCAACAGGTACGGCTAAGAAATAAGATCTTGCCTGAAGGCGAAATTTCGAGTTCCAGGTGTATACATATTTGAAGAAGAAGAAGAATCGAGCACCGGAACAATTCGTTTATTATCCTGAGCTTTCAGACTCGTACAGGAGTCCATCGTCAGAGGTAGTGGCAGAAACAGGACAAGCGGCAGTTATAAGGCACGTAGACCCAATCATCGACCGACGTCGCACGACTGGAGGTGACTACGAAGGGCTCTGTACGCCGGCGCCAGATCGATTAATCGATTGGCCGAGTTCTCATCCGAGGCCCAGGCTTCAATCAATTCTCGGCCTGTTTTGTTTCCGGCGTGGGCAACTATTTTGGTGGCTGCAAAGTCAAACTCGTGACCCATTTCGTAGGTGTGGGCGGCCACATGTGATAATGCGTTGCCTCGCCG